TAGATACTTAAGTACCTAGTTATTTTCAGTATATTTAGTATGTCTCACGATACCTAGTTGCTATTCAAGCAAAATTATTATATTCGTGTTAGGTTTGTGTTGATGAAATAAAACTACTTAAGTTTATTTATCAAATAGCAGAGGTGGAATTTATTGCTATAATTTAGAAGCTGTGTGTTGCCTGAAGACGTAAGCCGATCAGATATCTTACAAGAAACAAAACAAAACAAAACTTCATACTAATACATAATAACCCTCAAAGCACTGCACTGTCGCCTAAAACGTCAGCATACTTACATAATGTTAATTAAATTCCACGGTAGCAGGTAATTTTCGAGCGATGCAGTTAAAACATCACAAATATTCACGAACTTTACCAACACTGCTAAAACTGTGCAGCATTATTTCAATACCTAGGTTCCACATATAATTTAGGCTTTAGAGGTATGAGGAACAGGGTGGAAAGTTCCTCATCCTCCATTGAAAAGGGAGGATCCTCCGACCAGGCGAGGTGTTCGTGCCTGGTGGGCTACTGCCCGACGGTTGTTGTCGGGATATCTGTATGGGTGCTAATTGTGTTGAAAACTCTTATAGCGCGATGTAGAAACTTGCTCGTGATTGGTGCTGTTGTTTATGTAGTGCGCTAGATGTCGCTACATCACTCCCCTCCGAGACCGGAGGTCGTTAGCTGGTTGAGACGTCTGTGAGATGCTTGTCGAGCCAGTTGATGGTTTCAGTGCGTCGAATCTGTCTGCGAAGATGCCCAGTGAGTCGGATGGTGCAGTGCTGAAGAGTGGCTAGCTGCTGCGTCGACCAGGAGAGGGAGTACGTCTCTGCTTGCTGACCGGCCGGTGCAGTATGCTGTGCCGAAGTTTCTGATAAGGCTGTAGGTGCTGACCAGGAATGCGCGTCGGCTGCATGCTGGTGGTCAGGGAACCCGTTGTAGCCGTGGAAGCTGGCTGACTGTAGACTCGCTGCTTGAAAGCTCGAGGAAGTGATGACGTCATGGCTATGACGTAGTTGCACGAAGGCTGCGTTGATGTTCATGCTCGGGGTCACCAGTTTGGAGGTATGAGGAACAGGATGGAAACTTCCTCATCCTCCATTGAAAAGGGAGGATCCTCCGACCAGGCGAGGTGTTCGTGCCTGGTGGGCTACTGCCCGACGGTTGTTGTCGGGATATCTGTATGGGTGCTAATTATGTTGAAAACTCTTATAGCGCGATGTAGAAACTTGCTCGTGATTGGTGCTGTTGTTTATGTAGTGCGCTAGATGTCGCTACAAGGCACAAGTTTACCAAAAAGGTGGAAATGCTTGACAACCTCTTTAAACTGGCTGAATTAGAATATTTCCTCGGTAAAAAAATAAAATATATTATTATGGTGAATAAAGTTAGATATAATTTATTACTTTTCTACCAAGCAGGCACAGGGAGATAGCGCTATATCTATTTGAAGCAAACGTTTTTTTTACAAGTATAAGATATCGATTTAATTAAATTTCTCATTTGCTTGAAAAATAAGTAGCGACTTTACACGCAAAATATAGCTAGGTAATAGAAATGATATACACAGGCACAAAATAAAACAAAGTATAACAACAACACCAGTTATAGATACCTAAACTTGTTCCAAATATTCTCGTAGATAGGTATACCTACCTAGTAGTTATCTTTTAATATTAAAGCTATTCAGGAAAAATGGAAGTCCATACATCTAACGTTTCCTACGTTAGGCGTAAGCCATACCCAAGCTTTGTTAAAAGCTTTCTTTATCCTAGAGCTATTAATATGTGCCCGGATTGTGCCGTCCCGAAACCGTATGTAGGTAGTAGATATCTATCTAGATATTTCATAGACAACTTGTGTAGATACAAAGACAAATCGGATTATTACTAAGACGCACATTCTTTGTGGACAATATTAAATTTAGTTTAACCGACCTCAAAGAAAACCGGCGCCGCGGTTAGTTTAGCGAGTAATACCTCGACCTTAAAGAAAACCGGCGTGAAAGAACCACAGCGTTGTTTCGCCGTGTGAGTGAGGTTAACGGAGGCCTAATCTTTCGCCTACCCTAATCCTTTAATCTCCAAAACCCTAAAACATAAAAGGTCGGCAACGCACTTGTAACTCCTTCGTTATTGCTGGTGTCCATGAGCAGCACTAATTGCTTAAAATCAGGTAATCCGTCTGGTTGTTTGCCGTCCTATCACATCAAAAGCACACTACCAATCCGATCCAAAACGTACCACATATATCTGGAAGTCTTTGGGAGAGGCAGAGGACGTCTTGTGACGAAGTAGACCCTTAAAGAACACAATGTTACGGCTTTATCAACCGAAGTAATAGGCATAGGTGCTCACAACCATTACCCGCGGTTCCGAAACCGCGCAAATGGCGCAATGACTTAATGAATGCGTTACCCGCAATGAATCAGTTACCCGATTAAAATTTGTAATGAAATAAAAAATACCAAAACAATAGGCTGAATTATTACATGCATAACTTTCAAATAAGCAGCCCATTATTCCAACATTCTATCTCCTTTTCTAATTTCACTATCATACCGTATTGCTTACAAATACCCAAAAAATGTGCCCGAGACTGTTCTAGAAAATGTGTCATATCATGTTATAGGTAGGGTAGACTGGGTACGATTGAAACAAAGGACGGTTGAAACAGAGTAAATATCTCGTAAATGGTTACGCGGGGAATATGGGGTGTAAGGGGAAAAATAAGCGGACGACAGGTCCGAACCCGAATACAGTGCCGCTCCACATCCCGCGCGTTGAGGTTGTGTGCAGGACGCCATATTGATTTTTATTACACAAAAGTAAGTATTTTTCTTCTGACATTAAAGCTTTTATCATCTGTTATTTTTAAGTGAATGTATTAAGGTGTGTGTTTGCGATTATTACGATGCTTGTAGAATAAGGAATAGTGACTATTTTTAATGTATTATGATTACTGACGTAAATATAGAGTATATTATATGTAAAGTGGGGTTGGGGACGGTTGAAACATTTTTTGTGGGTACGGTTGAAACAGATTTTTTTTTTGTAGATGCCGAGAATTCGGATGAGGAAGACTTCCAGAGGGAACATTGATTTATCGAGTTATAGTAATGCATATGAGGAGGTAAAAACTGGAGAAACCTTTCGGAAAGCGGCGAAAAAGCATGGTATACACTATGTTCCCTGATATATTCGAAAGCGAGATGCGACCGGTGGTGACCGGTACTTGTAAACAGTGGGCACATGAAGAATGCACAGAAGGTGGTCTTAGCTACGTTTGTTATAATTCCGACTCTGAATACTCCGATTAATGCCTAAGCTAAATGTTTTCTCTAAGTTAATTCTCCATGTCTATTTGATCTAAACAGGGAACTTTCTTTATTAGTTTATTTGATTTAAAAATATTTTCGTTCAGTTTATTCACAATGGTTATTTTATTAATTTTAGAAATGTCTCCTAATTAGTTTTTTTTTCAAAGTCTATTTCTTTTTAAAGTTTATTCTGATACCTTAATTCTAATGCTACCGTTTTTGTAATTACCTACTCTAAATCTTTACTAGGTATTAGTCAAAGGCTGATAAACGTTTGAGAAGTATTGAAATCTTGAATACTGATTAATGTTGTGATAATTATTCATATAATTAGTATTAATTATAAATAAAATATATTTCATTAGTATTTATTGTTTTATTTTTATGTGTTTCAATTGACCCCAATCGCTGTTTCAACCGCCCCTGGCACGGGGACGGTTGAAACAAATTATAAATATTTTTTAATTTCACATATTTCCAAAAATAGTAATTTGAGAACCACAATGACACTGCCATATCGTAGCTAAAACTTCATATTTGAATTTCATGTATCATAATGAGCATTTGGTTAATAAATGACAAAATTATAAACGAAATATGCCAAATTGTTTCAACCGTACCCAGTCTACCCTATATACCTACCTACTGGGATCGGACCATCATTACTGATGAGACTAATAATTTTAGTCAAAAAACCGGACATTGTAGATTGATAGACTGACTAGCACTAGAATAATCGGTGTCGCCATTCCTACGAAACCCTCGTGAAAACTGCGAAAAGAAAGAAAGAAAGAAAAAGTATTTATTCGCGATAGAAAGATAAACAGTTAAAATTACGTTGACTTAGCTCACGAGGACCTCGTGAGCCAAGTCACACTCCACATGACGACTGGTTGTCGTCATGTAGAGTGTGGATTCAGCTGATATAGCGCCTGTCGCCAACTTTAGAAACCTGTGAATCGTTAAAGTTATTTAAATTAAATGAATATGCGGTTAATTTCACCATCTAATCAGCTCAATCATACAAAATGGTCATCTAATCTACAACAAAATAATTAAATATTTTGTTCATTTTATTCGTTCACTGCAAGCCGAACTACTAAGCCGAACTAAATAATAAAAAGCACAAAAAAATCCTGCGATATTTTTGGTTCGTTAACGTTTGTGTCATTCGAACACAAGGAATATAACTGTTACTACTCTCTACCATTGAGATAGAAAATATATAGAGGCGCCGTGTTATTTTAGAAGTAGGTATACATGCTTATACAAATATGAGTAAAATATGAAACAAACTATGAAATATCGTTTTTTCTCACTCTTTCTAAGGCAATAACTGTATTAGACAAAAGGGACAACAATATTTCAGTTGTTGCTTATTATGGCAACAAATCATTTTGACATTAGCAAAGTTGTAGGTAAGTGCCACGGAATAGAAAATACAGTTTTCTGTTCTGTGGTAAGTGCCATGTCCGCCATCTTAAGCGCTCAAAGTACCTGAGTTTCATAGTAGTTGTGCTGTCAAACGGTTATTTATGTTTTAAACACACACACATTATTTTCTATTTCAATGATGTCAATGTAAACATCACAGATTGTCTATGGTCAATCTTTATGTTTTGTTTGTTAAGTTGTCAGTGGTCATGTAACGGAACGTCATATTTTTAAAAGTTCTGACAGAAACGGTTTTGTTTGTTTCATGAGAGTTTATTTTGTTGATATTCTTGTAATTAATTAAAAGTATTATAATTATCAATGGCTTAATTTCGCTTTATCGTATTGTGTAATTGTTAATATTCATTGCGGAACCTTCAAAATAAGGTAAACTTTAAAGTATTCATTTTTTATTGAAATTATCGTAAACATTAGCTAACATCACTTTACGAACCTTTATAAAACAAAACGTTAAACACTTTTGTTTTGAATTATCTCAACAAGGAAAAGTATACAATCCGATCTTATTTTGAATAAGTAAATCGTAACAATCTGTTTATAATCTAAATGTACTTCATTGTTGATCAAATCTCAAAGCAATTGTACTGAAACTTCATAAAATGCTCTTTTTATCCAAATACAAACCTTATAAACACTTCAGCTAAGATCTAAATCACTATTTCAGTTAACAAAACGGTGAAAAAATGCCGAAAACAAGGATTCCATCGCCAGCGCGTTCACAGGGTGCAACGACGCCAAAACGTAAAAAAAGTCGGGGTAGCCGTAGTCTGTGTTCTCCGGCGCTATCTACGGCTTCAGGCAGACTGACTTCTCTCATAGACCAATTTAAAGACAAGAATATGGAGTTGTTTGCCCTGTCACCATTAAACAGAAGATCCATATTGAATGATGATACTGCTATTGAAGAACCACGGCGTAAGTGTTGTTTGTTCTTTAAAACGATAATTTGTGAGCATAGTAATAGATACTACGAGTTGATATTATGTATATGACTATGGATAATTGATAGAAAATGCTTTTAGCATTACATCATCTGACATGCGACTCTAATATTATGGAGAATAAATAATATTACAAGTCCTTTTATGTCTGAACAATTAGTTCAGAAATTGTGTACCTTGTTCCATTTCCAGCATCAAATTCATTGCATTCAGAAAATATTTTACATTACTTAGCACTCAACCTACTACTTAAAGTAAAATTTATCTATAACTAAAATATATCCAACTTAAAGATAAAATAAATAGACAAAAGAGTAACTCGCAAAATATGAAGTTTTAAAATTCTAAAATTTGAAAGACATAAACTTAAGCATCTAACATTATTAACAAACTAGCTACTCCCACTTGATTTCACCCGCTGCTCGGCTACATTTGATTGTAGCGTGATGTTTCATAGCCTATAGCACTCAGGAACATTGTAGGTATCTATCAGTGAAATAATTTTAGAAATCGGACCAATGGTTCCAAAAATTACCCCCTACATACAAACTTACAAATTTTACCTCTTTATAATATTAGTATAGATTTCTATCTCATTTGTTTCAATGCCTTGTCTTGTGTACATTTTCTTGTGCTTGAAGTTATAAACTAATAAAAAGCATTTAAAAACTCCACACCGTTGTGATGTAATGTAAAAGGTTGTTGTAAAAGTCTCTAAAGTTTAGCAGAATTGTCAGATTTAATGTCAACATATACTCTATAAAATTTCATGTTTTGGCAAAGTAGTTGACATTGTTTTGATTTGATATTGTTTAACAATCCTATAAAGTTATGAAATACTTATGTATTAGTGTAGGACACTATTGAAATAATTTGTATTATAAGAATCATAAAAAAATTATTGCAACCTTTAAAACAATAAAAATTATTGAAAAAAAGCTTTACATTACATACATTTTAGTATGCTCCCCACACAGTAGAATGCTCTCAATGTAAAGCTTGCATTTACTGAAAACTAAAATGTTGTTGCTACATGTTCCTAGGAACATTTAAGAATTCATTGCCGAAAATCAAATGTGGTGAAAAATTTAAATCTATTTCTTATATTCAAATTTTCAGGTAAAAGTTGGTGGAAAAATTTAAAAGAAGATTCTCAACAGATCATGGAAGTATTGGAAGAAAATAAGGTGACGGATGCCAACAATGGTATTGAAGAACTCATTGATATCGAAGTTTTGAGGTATGTTACTCTTCCCATTCTCATCAGATCACCTTAATAGTCACTTTCTATTTCACCTATTATATTGTCAATAACCACCAATACCGGCTTCGTCTAGTTTTTCAAATATAAATTTACATGTAAAAGTGCCGCTTTATGGCCTTTGTTTCAGTACTGAATTCTTCCAATACCAAATATGTTAAACCCTAGTAGCATTTGGCGAAAATAACTAAGAATTAAATTAATATAGTGAGATTTATCATTTCATTAGTAGAAGTAGATTAAACATACTTAGACAACTTTTATAATTTTCATTGTTTTTTATACACTAGTTATGCCCTAGATTTTGCAAGAATCCATGGCTTATAAAGAGGTAAAAGTAAGTTTGTATGTAGGGGGGTAATTCTTTCACTGAGTGCTGAGGCTATAAAACATCACGCTACGATTAAATAGAGCCGAGCAGCGGGTGAAACCGCGAGAGAGTAGCTAGTAACAATGTAAAAATATCTCTCAGTTAAGCTAATAGTATGTCGACAAGACTGAAACAAAACTTCAATGGTACAGGAAATAATAATATGTAAGCACAAAAAGCTCTTTGCAATCCACATATGGTTGTTCTGGTTCTAAGCTTAATATGAATGTGTGTGTGTATGTTAGAAAACACACTCGCGACACAAGAAACCTAGTGTGGGGCAACATTCATTTAAATTGTTAATATTACTTGCATACATTCGAAAAACATTACCCTCTTTTTTTGGCATGGCAGTCGGGTAATAAAAATCATATACTTAATTCTTTTAATTCGTTGATAGAGGGATTGGGATCCAGAATATATATTATATTTCTATTTTTATTTTCTGTTGATTATCATGACCCGAATGTGCACTTCATGTAAACCCGGCTTTTTGGCACACGTGTTTTGTCCATTCTCCCGATTTGTGATATGTCTTTATTTGTTTTTTTTTTCGATAACTATGGAATAACAAGTGTGATATATCATTGGAAAGGGTATTTTTTGTAGAAAATAGTTACGTATCATACACAAACTTCAGTAAACAAAAAAACGCCAGAAATATTAAGTGCATTTTTACGTACATGGGCATTCTTTCGATAAATCTATCAACATTATTTTGCCACATATGAAAAGTGAAAAGAAGTTGTATTAAATTATTTAATTTTAGTACAAAATTATTCACCGTCAGCAAATGTTCGTCCTAGTCAAACGCCTGAAAATAAATATTCTTATTTTTTTTTATTTATTTATGTAAATAGAAAGAAGCCCTTAACCATTAAAAATCATAAAATATATTTACTGCATTGTTTTTAAAAATAATGTTTTTTAAAATTGAAATAATGTGTTTTCTGTTTTTCAACTAAAGTCATTGTTTACAGCTAAATATAAAAACATTTGAAAATGTTAACAAACACCTGATACGACTTGAAAGAGTCATTCATTAGCTTGAACAAAAACATTAGTTGAGGCGACTTATGTTATCAACGAGTCACAAAAAACATTTTGTAAGCTCGGGCATCTGGCGTGGCGGTGCGCCATTTTCTTTTCTAACAGATAGCGCTCGGTGCGTAGTTATGAAATCGGCAAAACCGATCAAGCAGGTATCACCATCAAACCATAAAAATGTTATTTTTTCTTTTTCAGCCAAGAAAAGAAAGAGTACACCCTTGATTTGCCAGAGAGCAGTGACAACGAATCAATAAACAGCATAGTACTACCGCAACGGAAACTTTTCACACAAAAAGATAGCAAACCACAAAAAAAGTTTGGCCAATTCAGTGACAATCGAGAAACATTGGCCAAACTACACAAGACCAACACAAATGTTGATAAAACTGTAAATGTTGGCACTAGAGAGTTGTTTCAAAATGCAAAAAGGTCCAAACCAATATTTCCTTCAGCCTTACTCAATATATCTCCTAACAAAACTACAGCTGATAAAACTAAAGAAAACATTTTACAAGAGCCCAAAGTTAGAAATATCTTTGGCAACCGACCAACTAATAAAAGGAAGAATATGTTTGCTGACTTTGTAGTCTCTGAGAGTGAGGATGAAATACCAGAGATACAGCCTCGAGTGTTCGGGTTTCAAAAGAAACTAGAACAGCGACGTATAAGTTCTATATCTAAAGGAAGAGAAGGTTCCCCAGCTTCAAGTATAACGACTGATATGGAAATGGATGATTGGAAGCTTCTACCATCCTCAACAATGGTAGAAAATCAACTGGAGGACATTGTGGCTGGTCACACACCGAAACGAGCAAGACTCAGTAAATTATCTGAAGCAGGAACGAACACTGAAGCAGGAATTAATACTATTCAAACGAACACTACTGGTGACAAAACTAAAGCATCCAATAAGTCTGTTACTTCTAAAAATAAATCCAAATCTTCACCAGATGTAAAAGATAAATCACTAAACAGCTCTAGAACTACAAGAAGTATGATGAAGAATACTTCGAAACTTGAAGAGAAAATAGAAGCTCCTAAACAAAATACCAAAATAAATAAATCTCAGGATAAAATATCTTCTAAAGATAATGAATTGGATGACAGTTCGTCCAAAGTGGCAAATAAACAAAATACATCATTAAACAAATCCCAAAGACTGAATAAGAGCAGAACAAGAAACAGTTCTAAAATAATTGAGGAAGAAAAAGAAGGCGATGAAAATGCAGATAACGATAAAAATCCAATCAACAACGTAACACGAGTAATAAACAAGAATGGTTCAAATGCTACACTCTCTGGTAAAAGCATAAATGAAAAAGAACGCACAATAACTCTTAAAGTACACGATAAAGCAAATGAGGCTGGTTCTAATAACGAAGAAGATGAGAATCAGTTTACGTTACAATACGAAAACGATGAAAACGAAATTGCAGAAGAAATTGTTGAACACAATAAAATTAACGAAAACAAAGCTAATAAAATCAAAAACAGAAATACTATGGTTATAGAAAAAGATAATCAAGAAACTGATGCCAATAAATCGAAAAGTAACAAATCTATACATAATGAACTTAAACAAGCTAAAATAGTTGAAGAATCTGTAGAATCAACGAATGAACAATCTGCAAATGACAATGTTGACGGTAATGAAATACAAAACACTGAGATCGATAAAAATTACGAGCACCAAGATGCAGATAACGTGAGTCACGAATTAAATGAGCAGCGAAATAATAGCGAAGGTGAAAAAAATGTAACTAATAATATTGAAGATGAAGAAAATGAGGAAGAAATGAATGTTAGTCAAGAAAACGATCATGAAACAAATGAAAATGACAATACAGACGAAGTGATTTTGAGCAAAGTTGATGAAGAAAATGAAAGTGAAATCGATGAGGAGAATGTTGATGTTAATCAAAGTAACGAAAATGAAGAGCCAAATGAAAGTCAGGTTGAAGCAGAGGTTGATGGAAGTCAAGAAATAGATGAGCAAAATGAAAGTCAAGAGATGAATGAAGAGGCTGACGATAGCAAGATCGAAGAAAATGCTTTGGAAGACGAAAACAATGAAAGTGAAGAAGAAAGCCAAGAGGTTCAGAATGATGAGGAAGAAGATGATGTGGATGAAAGTCAAGAAGAGGACGATGCAGAAGATAATGACGAGAGCCAAGAATTAGAAAATCAGGAAGTAAGTCAAGGAGAACATGAGGTTAGTCAAGAAGAACATGAGGTAAGTCAAGAAGTTGAAAATGATGAAGAAAATGAAGTGGAGAATGATGATGTAAGTCAAGAAGTTGAACAAGACGTAGAAAATAATGAAGAGAGTCAAGAAATAGAGAATGATGAAGAAGAAAATGAACAAAGTCAAGAGGTAGAGGATGACGAAGAAGAAGACGAAGAAAGTCAAGAAATAGACAATGAAGAAGATAATCAAGTAGAGAGTGAAGCTGAAGTAAACGAAAGTGAAGAAATCGAAGATGATAAAGCAATGGATAACAGTGACGAGGCTGACAAAGCTATCGCTAGTGATCCGGAAATTTCTGATCGAGATGACAATGACGCTGAAGAAATGGAATTTGATGATGATGACAATAATGAACAAGAGTCAGAAAATGAAGAAGCTGAAGGAAATGAAGAAGAAAGTCACGAAGAACAACTGGAACCAAGCGCAGAAGAAATAGAAGAATCACCTAATGTCACACACGATACTACAGGCAGACATAGACAGAAAGAGCTTAAATCACCCGAAGCGATCTTACATGACAAGACGAACCAAATGGACTCATTCACAGCCAAAGGCCGAAACACTAGCATAAGAAAAACAAAGAGTATGATCAAGAATCTTAACATCAGACCGAGTTTAGCCCCTCAACGGGATAGTTTAGCCTTTTCTGATGGTACAAGGGACTCTAGCGCGGAAGGATCAGGTTGGGACTCACACAGAACAACTCGCAAAACGCTACGACAAACATTTGGAAAAGATTTCACACCTAGAAAATCTTTACGAGCCTTAGTTATGGAGAAATCGGCAAAAAGACAGACGGAACATCAGGATCTCCATTCAGACACTGTTAAATATCCCCAAGCTAATTCTACCGAGTTGCCAGAGTATTCTAATGGTCATGTTGAAGATTTTGTGGAGTCTGACCATGAAGTGTCGAGGCGAACGCGGCAGACAACGTTAGAAACATATTTACAGAAAATCAAGCAACAAAACATTGAAAATAAAGTAAAAATGGTAAGTTTCCCACATTCATTCTTACAGATAAGCTATTATTTTGGCCACTTTTGATAGTATTTGTCTCAGTGTTTCTATTACTACAATTTCGTTATTCAAATATCTTGCTATGCCCTATATTGCTAAGAGTTTTGATTTTTACAATCTAAGGTACTGAACCCGAAAATTTGTGATCGATGTTAAATGTCAACAAAGTTTATATAAAAAAAAACATAACCATAATTATATTACAACCATAATTATATTACAGGAACAACTAGTTCGCAATTCATTAAAAGCACCGTCGAGGGATACGCTAAGCCTCTTCAAAGTGCCAAACAAACCAGCGCCGCGTCGCTTGAAACTTTCTCAAAACAAACCTAGAACACAGATCAAATCCATCATGGCATTCGGCGAATTGCCCACGGAAGTTATTGAAGATATGAAGTACAAACCGCCGAAGAGATTCCAACCGACCAACGCGTCCTGGATCACCAAAAGACTTTACAAGTTCTTGGAAACTAAGTTGGAACCCAAGTAAGTGTTTATTGCCATCCCTTCTCTTCCTGCGAAAGTCGTTTGAGCCGACCTTGGAACTAGACAATACGGTAGTTTCCAACTAGTCAAATTCAATACTTTTATCGAAATGTCAAAAACTATAACTTTCTATGAAATTTGTATGAAAAACTGAGGTATAACGTCATAGTATTTTTGCGTCAAATAGCTTACTTATTTCTTAATAATTAGCTACAAAATATCTAAAGCTTAGTGTATCGATCGATCGATGAATATAAGTATAATTATTTTTAAATATTTTATTGTATTGAAACATCGAATTAATTTATTTTTGACCAAGGAAACTACCCAATTTACTCTCGCCCTAAAAAACTTGAAATTTAGATTTTATTTCGCTTAACAAGGTTAGTGATTCTGGCTAACCCTCGTTATGTAGAAGAAGCACTAAATTTTAGCAGGAGTGGCAGACTGTTCTTTCATTTGTACAGTCACTTGACGACTTCCTGCTAAGCTATTGTGAGTTTGATTGCCACAGATGTATGATGTTAGGTAGTTAGATCAAAAAGTAACTGATAAAGTGACAATTCGTTTTTGTCTTTACAAAATTTTGAAAACACTAAGAACTACTGATTCGATTCATTTATTTATCGAAAAAACCTATAAAACATCACACCACAACCAGTAAAAGCCGCCCAATGAGTGAAGCTGCTTACAATAAAATCTATTTTCTTGTCAGTAAATTAATTGTATAACCAGTATTCAAAAGAATTCAAAGCACTTTGAAGGCTTATAATTATGTGTTTATTAACTCTTTATTTCTTTCTCCTAAAACAGGTATGATTACAAAGCTCGAGTTCGCGCAGAGAAGCTAGTAGAAACAATATACCACTTCGCAAAGGACTTGCGTCGTCACAACGTAGCGCCAACAGACGCGGTCGACGTACTAAAACATGAACTGGCGAGGCTCGAAGTAGTTCAAACGCACTTTGATTTCTACGAATTCTTCCACGAATTCATGCCGAGAGAAATTCGTGTTAAGGTGAGCTTTTATTTAATTTAGACTTTGTTCTTTCTTCGTATTCATTGCTTATAAAACTTTTTTTTTAAGTAATTTTGCTTGAAAACTAGCCATCAATACAATCAAGTACGTTAATAACTTCGTCAAACGAAAAGCTTATGATAATTTGTAAGTGCTAACTCAAAAATCTAATCCGACTCCACTGTAGTATTACCGAAGGTGTTAGCAACTTGCTTTGCAATATTTAAGCATGACATGTGATGAGATGACAGATGATGACCACATCTCACTTGTTATGAGTATATAGCCACAATGCCAGAAAAAATATACGTATACTAATATTATCTATACTATCTATACTAATATTATAAATGCGAAAGTATCTCTGTCTGTCTGTCTTTTCTTCACGTCTAAAGTACTGAACCGATTTCTGTGAAATGGAACAGACATAGTTTGAACTCGAGAAAGGACAAGGATAGTTTTTATACCAAAAATCTGCAGGATCAAAAGCTAGTTACAAATAATTGGAACAACCACCTTACCTACAGTCAAACCCTTGCAAAGATTGCTTTTTAGAGCTTAGCTTATAAACACTGACCTTTGTGAATCAAAAAAAAATTAAATAAATGAAAATGAAAAAAATTTTTTTTATAATTAAGTACAGTAAATTTACAAAAAATATTACTTCTGCCAAACTGTAAAATAAACCGCTTAGAAGCAGTAAGTTCAAGCAATCCAACTTGCCAGCACTATACCAAAAAATTTCAATTTTTGTTTTCCAGGTTGTTCCAGATATCGTAAATAAAATACCTCTGCCCAGGCACGGAGTGTTCTCCGACATCTTGAGAGGGAACAACGTACAAGGATAACCAGTATTTGCCTTAATTGTATTGTTTTAAGATGAGTTCTGTTAATTAATAATTATGGATTGATATTATTAAATGTTTTAAGACATTACTTACTAGATGTTTATAATTTATAACCCTATACAGACTTCATTTTGAATGTAATGGTTTCTGTTATGGTTACAAAAATATTCTTTTGAAAACACAGCCACAGAGTAAAAAGAAAGAAGCACTGCTCCGCGTAAAAACTCATTGAAGTAGCGGCTCTTAAACAACACTTTCATAACCACTACGATTTTTACCACACACAATGATACCTCGGATGCCGTCTACATGTCTCGTACATTACGTTGAACTCGTACCATGGCCACGGCCACGGCGCTGGAATAAAATTTACGTGGATTTTGGGCGAGTAGGTGGCACTGAATGTGTTAAACTAAGCAATGATATTAACTTGTGTAAGAAACAGGGAGTATTATTTGAATAACAATAATATTTCAGGGTCAGCAGACCCTGAACCGGTCTAGCAAGTCCAGAGTGATACCACGGCCTCGTAGAAAACAGGCGGTGAAAGAAAAATAGGGTTGTTTTGTTGTGTGGGTGATTATCGAAGGCCAATCCTTCTCGATTGCCGTCGTAACACATTTTTTTTATTAACTATCATCACAGACAGGACAACATCTAAAGGGTCCGACTAAGCATAAAAATAAATAAAACCAAAACCTCTGGAATCTAGGACTTGTTTATTTCGAAAATATTAGGATACAAATGTAAACCTATGTTACAAATTACAGTACCATGGAGCACCATACACATAAAATTATATTGCAATAATGTAGGTACAAGTATAATGTTTCAACATAATATGAAAAATACATCTCGCTTATAACTATTTTATGTATAGAAGGAGAAAGGCGAAGCTTTAGTCTTAATTGAATCTGTTGGGGCACATCGATTCCAGACATTCCTTTATAAATATTTAATCATATTGCAAGGCTGAATATTCATAAGAAATTAAATATACGCGTAGAATATTAAGGCTATATTTATAGAAAAATTATAGCAATTCATATACATTTACGTTTAAATAGTTGGGAAGGTAATTTAACTATTTAAAAATAATGTTCAACTACATTGATATGGGGCAAAAACTGGTAAATGTATTTATTTGAAAATAGTAACGACTTACGTGAATTGCTATTTAAAAATAGTAAAAGTATCGACATGTTTTTAACTTCGCCATTTGTAAACAAGTGAAATTATATTCTTGATACATATCTCAAGATTATCAGCTATTTGTATAGTATAAAATAAAGTGATTTTGTTCGACAAAAATAATTCTGTACATTTGCATAGCTACATTGGTGTACACTCTACACAAAGATAATGAAGGATTACAGATTAAATTAAGAGAATATAAAAACATCTTTGAATTGATACAGCGGTGGTCAATGGGCCGATTTCAATAAACAACTACTTATTCTAAATCTAAAATCTCTACCGCTTTTGACAACATAAGTTGTATGGAAGAAGTTCTGTAAGATCAAGATAGATCAATAGATTTTTGGATTAAAATCGGCCGTACGTGCTAAACATTACATAAAATAAAGTCACGTCCATATAAATCCATATATTATATAAGTTTCATAGCATTTTTTCTGTGCTAGAAAGGATACAATTTAATATTTATTTTGAGATAATCCTCTTTGCTTTATGACATGGGTGAATTTTGTTTCTTATTAGTTTTATAAGCATTTATAAAGTTTGGTTTTGTGACAACATTTACACATAACTATTGCAACATAAAATAAGTAGTGTGAGCATATATTTTGTGACTCAAATGTAAAGATTTTATAAGTTTGGCACTACACAGATTTGTACCTAAATTGAATCGAAAATATACAATTTCATATGTTACAATCGTCATAATTAAAATAAATTAAAATAACGTATTTTGATTACTAATTTACTAAGTTCATATGAACATAATTATTTATAAGTACAGCTTAAAAGCTTTCATAAAAATGCAGTCCAGGGTATACCTAAAGCAGTCTAAATAAAATTGAAAATCTACATTAACAACAATACATACAAGGGGAACTTCAAAATATTACATCTTTATTTTTTGGCCGAAATGTTGGCTACTTCGATTCATGTTTGTGTTGCCAACTAAAAATATAATTTTAAAAATGCAAAATAGTCTTCATTGTAATAAAAATTAATGCCTAACATATAAAAATCATAAATAAATGGCAGTCTAAATGACTAATTGATAAATCTAGTAACTAAGCTAGAACAATACTAACGCAGTTCAAAAATAAGCTCTTTAAAATTTAGTAACTTAACTAAGGTACATAAAATCAAATTATTGCTTCATATTAAACAAACGAACAATACAATTAACTATAACGGTTGTTTTCACAAAGATCAGCTTTCTACTGTATTTTACAATACATAGAAATAAAATAGGTTTCCTGTGAACCTTTATCTCACAAACCCATCTTTCTTTAATTTTAGATATCCGACATTTTTGACAAAATTATTCTAGTGCATTGGGTCAATATTTTTTTAACATACAAGGGATAGGTTTTAATCTTGCGCCAATTAAGCATTTGTTTATCAAATAAATTTTTATATAACAAACTTTCATTTAAAAAAATTCTTAGACACATTGAAGAAAAAAGGCAATTGATATTGCTGAGTGATGACTGAAATTGGAATCATCCGGATTGCATTTTAAATGCGTATGTTCTTAATATTGTAGTCACTAGATGGCGCTAATGTGGTATAAAGTCTTAACAATACAGGTGTTATAATTGGTGCAAATAGTAAGGGACTTAAAACTACAGCAGCGCCACTAGAGATAAATGCAGGCGCGAATAATTCTAAATTTAACCATCGTATGAAAGGTTTGTGTAATTTAGTTTTTTTGTATATTACCTAATGGCAGTTAATGTGTATATTGAAGGTAACGAAAATGGTTCTTTTTAACTTTATGTAAGAGGCAACCACTAATACAGATATCGAAGAATTATTTACTATTGTATGCCCATTGATTAGTACTACTGTTAATTTCCAAATGTCAGTACTATTTAAACTACTCGTACATCTAAAAGTAGTATTCATTTTCATTATAAAAACATTCTAAATCTATAAAAAGTCATCCGATCAAAAATTTTGAAAATTTGAAAGTCGAATAAAAATTCTTTCGCATCACAGTCTAAATTGCTTCGAAACCTACCGTTTAGTGTTGCCATTACAAAAAAAATATCCGATGGTAGAAAAGGGGACTACATGAAAGTTATTATGCTACTTTTATTCGATTTAGTGCTATTTTATTGAAAAATTTATATTCTTAATTCCAGTCTGATAAAATTTTTGTAGAATCTATTATACATCTATTGACCGCTATTAGAGTTGAAGATTCTTTAAAAAGTTGTTCTATTTTAGTAACTGACGAGTGAAGACACTAGTACTATAGAAATACTTGCTTTTTTCATAACATATTTTCTTTATTCTTCGTTCTTTCCTGGTACAAGAAAATGCACGCCTCGCAAGGAGGTTTTATAACCCATTATTGTTCAAATTATAAGTTTTAATCTTAATAATGACGTCATTATTCAGTGTAAAAGAGAAAGAGATATTCAAATTCGTAACCTTCCATCTCTTTTTCAGAATTTAATATTATTTTACTTCCAAAGCAATATTATTTCATCAAAAGTATACTTATATATTAAGTTCGTCTTTTATAAAGGACGACTCTTGCGCATCTTTCCAACGATTATACATTAAGAGTGCGTTTTATCAGTCCTCTTTAATTATTTATAGATTAGATTAACATTTTGCGACATTTCGCATTATTTAGCATAATTCTTATACGTTAAATAGTACACATTACTGTATGGGTAGTTTGATAATAATAATTATTATTATTATTCTCAGTTTTTTATCCTTACTGCAACCAACCTAAGAGTTTAATACGGGATCTTATAACAGAGTCGAACTACATTAGATTAAGATTGAAATAATAAAAAAGCATAAAGCATACGGTCGAAACACCGCTTTTTTGATGTCATCTAAAACATCATTTATAAAAAATAACAAACGCTATTTATTAGTATTAAAATACTTAAAGAAACAAAACGATTCTATGGGTTTATCAATAACTTAGACTTACTTAATCATCAAACTACCCACACATATACACATTTCACATATACAATACATACCATACTCTTAGTGCCTTAGCAATACAATGTCTTTCATTTATTTATTTAATAAAGTATAACAATTTCAATGGTCATTAAGGGGATGATAATGTCATTAATTGGTAATCTACATAAATATGACATGAAATTGATGAAAATATCTGTTAGACTGTTCTACAAAACTGTTTTTGTTTTCAATTATTTGTTTTTAAATATCACCTTGATCACTTCAAATGTTTAAAATAAATATTACTATACAATCCTAAATCTCAGTATGAAATCATAAGCAATCTGAAGTTCGTTAAAGTGCACCACATTGACAGCTGTCACTGTCACTTGCAATCAATGGCTAACTTCATAGTGTACGTTCTACAGCAAGTTTACGATCTTACTCATAAAAAAACACATTTTTTTTTTACTTTAAACCATAATCAAAACTTTTTCAGTAACTATGTTGACTTAATAAGCCTTCAGATATTTTCACCAAATAAAAAAACATCACACCTTGTTACTAACGGGGTTGACAGGGCAGCAGCTCGACGTAGTTGGCAGGGAAGAGGCCGAAAACTCCGTGGGGCCCAAGTCCTTGCCACCAGCCGGCGTCAATCTGCTCTATGTGGGTAATGATATCGCCGGGGTCAAATGTGATCTCTGATTCGTCCGCTGCAATTTTTTTTTATTATTATTAGAATAGGTTTAAATTTGGAGTTAGTGTTACAACACGGTAGTTTCAAACAAGTCAAAATAAATGCCTTTATTTAAATACCAAAAACGAAACTGTTCTATGAATTTTAGTGTGGGAGAGCCATGCTTCGGCAAGAATGGGTCGGCTCGACCGGAGTGATACCACGG